TTTCGCACCGGTAGCTTGGCAATCGATACCCAACGGGGGTAGGTTTAATTGGTCGTATCCATGGCTCGACGAATAACACAAATTCAACTTGATGAGAGGTATTACTCACCAGCTGTGGGTGGGGTAAAACGGACTTTATATCTTACCGCAAATCATGCGGTAAAATGCTCTCTTTATTTCCATTCCAGGGCTAAGGAGAGCTCCTCAAAATGGTGGTACACTGCAACCACAAGATGGATGCTTGAAACTAACTGGCGGGAACTGTAAAATCAAAAGGCGGGAAATTTGAAATAAAAAGGTGGGACATCGGAACCACGAAATGGCCAACCCCGTGAAATCATTTGGCGGGAAATTAAAAACCAAATGGAGGAATATTGGAAACACAAAATGGCGGGGGATTTGACAGTTTGTATTGCCCCACTTGACTGTACGTCAGGTGGAATACCAACGGAGGAAATGAATCAATTGCTTTGACTCGTATTTTCCATCGCTTCAACATTTTTTTTTTTATTCTATCGTCGATCCTCGGAGGTGGAAATGAAGTGACAAAATATCGTGATGGTACAGAGGAGATGGAGAACAAGAGACGGTAGACGAGAGGCAAAAGCAACGACGATTAAGTAGGTCGCTCGACGGGGGCGTACAGTTCGATATCTCGGGGACACCCTCTCTTTTACCCACGTCCCACCCCTACCGCATCCCTCTTACAATTGTGTCTGCACCCTTCACACACAAACGACACACTGTGTACACAATCCGTGGAGCTCTTTTCATGCCGCGGGGGTCAAAGTTCCAAATTCAACGAATTTCAATATCCCCAACCATTTGCCGAGCGGTTTTATCCACAATACCCACTGTGCATTTTTCTGGAATAAAGACGGGAGTTATTCAATCTCACGTGTCGTGAAAGTGGAATATAAGAGGACGGAAGGGAGTGAATTCATCAATCGAAATCGACGTGTGGATTCCCATGCTGAATGGAATAAGAAAAGAGAATGGAGTTCTATTTTCTTACGTCTACAACGGGAGGGAAATTCAGATGAATATCAGAACACAATACATTTATTTCCATCGACCATTAAATATCGAACATTATTGCTATCGAGAGTTACCGGAGATATCTCGAAAAATTCGAATATCCAATTTCGTAATATATAATCACCCATAGATAATTAATCAACAATTAGAATCAATTATTATTAACTAGGTCAATTCTTGAATTCCACCAACATTTAAATACCCATAAAATTATTTATAACGAAGTGCATCATAAACATTTACCACGCGTCAGTATAATGAAAAAAAAAAATCGATTTTTCAGAGGGTGCAGAAGAGAAGTGAAGGGCACCAGGGGTTCTGCTCCCCAAGAAACATCCCTGAATAATTCATGCAATACACCATCGAAAATGCATCCACGTCAGTCGAGCTCAAAGATCCAGCGCTATTAATTATTAAACAAATTCAAAACCGGGGGATTGTCTTGATTCGTGAAAAATAGGGATGCGAAATAGTGAGGACGAGACAACCATATAAAATATATATTAAGGAAGCGGTAAAGGACGTGTTTTCGAGGTGAGCGATGCAATAACTCTCGAATTTATATCGATTCCATGGGTCATACGTTCGTACGTATGAGTTCAATTGAGTTATGAATAATTTATTGTTGCTACTTGGGATATCGGGGGTTGAATAAAAATAGGAAAATCAGTGGAATTACCGGGTGCGAGGGAAATCTCGGGTTTATCTCATTTATTTGCATTGAATTGTTTTGGGTATTTATCTGGTTATTTCTCGCGGGGAAAATTATTATCCTGTTGCCGTCAGGTGGTGAGGGGGAGGGGGCATTCATCGAGATATTTTCCAGTGGAAAATAGAGATCTCAATTTCACGTTGATTGGATATAAGAGCTCGGGGCAATGGGAGGGAAGAATTTCGTGGGAAATTTCGCATACCTCGATGGCTCTCACGTACGTCAGATTCCGATGGGAAAGATGAGACTTATGCCAAATTGATGAATTTGATCTCCTGCTATTCCGGGAAAATGTCTGTGTGTTTTGTCGTTGGTTGTAATTGAAGAGTAATATCTGAAATTGAGAGATTAATTTCGGAGAGATGAAGATAAGAGATTTTTTTCAGTGGAATGGAGTGTACACTCAGATTAAAAAAAATGTAATCGGAATATTTATTCGAAATTTTCCAAACATTTCAGGAAAACAATTGTTTTGTCTCCCGATTTTTTTTATTTCAAAAAAAAAAAAAATTCGAAAAATTTTCCAAAAATTTTTTGAAAATTTGGAAAAAATATTGCGATTACAATTTTTTTACCCGAGCACAGCCGATGATTTTGGGATTTGGAATGTTTTTTTTTAGACATGATGATCCGATCTGGACTAGATCGTGACTGGAGGGTCGTGTCTAATTAATTTGGCTGTTGATTAAACCAAAAGAATTGTCCCAAAAATATCTCAACCCTCAGGAAAATTCCGGTCTCAGGTTCATTGCTGGGGTGCCTGATGAAAAGCCACGGTATTATTCACGATTTTAATTGTATCCGGGCACGATGCCCAACACTGGGCATTATTAAATTCATAAATCTCTCTCCCAGTGGTCTAGAAACACACGTACCACTACGAGTTACTGACGCATTTCTCTTTAAACTCAAAACTCACACCATCACTGTTGTAAACCCTCTGCATAACTTTCGTCTGCCATTGAAACTAACTGCCCTATCCTCTTAGTTTCCACCGTTAAGGTCTCGACTTGGTGGAAATCAAGTTTATCATGATACTCGAGTTTCTCAGTTGTACGGGTGATGCAGCATCTCTGTCAATTTTCAAACTGAGATCTATCATTTCTTATGAATTAAACGTACTTGCCTGTTTTACTGTCTTCATTTAACAAATTGAGATGAAAATTGGGCATTCCGATATGATGAATTATTCCATCCCCTCGCACAGCGAGAAATATTCACCAAAAATTACCAAAAAAATTCCATTTCCCGATTTCATTGAATTTATAATTCCCCAGAAATATCTCAAACATTTAATTAATATCCGGGTCTATTTGACGGAAGAATTTTGACAATTATTCCCCTGGGGAATTTGTGGTAATTATTCTCCCGTCTGTCTTCAATTTTATCGATTTAATTTTCAATTCTTTCTCACTAAATCATGAGATTTTTTTCCATTTCCTCATTTCATTGAATTTATAATTCCCCAGAAATATCTCAAACATTCAATTAATTTCCGGGTCTATTTGACGGAAGAATTTTGACAATTATTCCCCTCGGGAATTCGTGGTAATTATTCTCCCGTCAATCTTCAATTTTATCGATTTAATTTTCAATTCTTTCTCAATAAATCATGAGACTTTTTTCTGATGGCCGACGGGGGGTGGGCGAGGAGGGGGGGTATACCCTCGACAGGAGCCCTCAGAATTAGCCGCCATGAAAAATCCTGCCAGTCATCGTCGACGATAAAATTCATCGTTCCTCCCCAGTGGGCCCCCATCATTCGCCATTTTTTTTATCCGGATTTTTTTTTTCCAGTGTACATTTCACCGGCCATTTGCCGGGGACACAACGTGAACCGTCGATAAAACCCGTCCCGAGACACGCCACAGGCTTTTCTATGGTGGAGCCATCAAATTAAATGTCTACTGGACAGACATAAAAAATTTCATTTAGAAAAAAAAAAAAAATCTTGAGGTGTCTTGTTGAGTTTCATTGAGTTTCATGCCCTGAATTGCGAAGACAAATTTTTAATGTACACCAAGAAAGTGAATTTTTTCGGAATTCAAAAATTAAATTGACTCGGTGGCACTTCCGCAATGAATTTCATTCCGCTTTATTCCGGATTTAAAAACAGCCGCGAATCCATTTCCGGTATTACCTTTAAGCCTGAAATTCATTCGAAATATTAAGAAATATTAAGAGGGCGAACCATTTCCTTCGTCTACCCGATATCCCCGTGAAAAATTCATGCGGTACCTCCCCAAAAAAGAAAGTAAAGTACCTTCTCCCTCGAAAATTTTCTCCTTAAATAATTCCCATCCCCCGCCTCCAGAATTACCTCCTAAAAGGTCACTAAAACCCTCTCAACAAAAAGATGAAAAACCTCCGGAAGCCAAGAACACGGTATTTCCGTTAAGTTAGGCACAACCCCTCAACTTTACATCCTGGAATGCACTCTGAATAAATAACAAAGTTTCATCTATTCGCGCGTCTTTCACAGAACATCGAACTTTGAACCAAAGAAGATGGACCTGAGTAGAAAATGAGATCGGGGAGTTGATGTTTCCCTAAAAATTTTAGTACCGATCCTGCGGAAGAAATCGGTAGGACCTGTTATTGTAAATCAGTCGATTTAACAATTGAGATTGGATGCGGTTTTAAAAAAATCGGAAGATAACATTTTTGAGAAATTTTTGAAACTTTATATATTATATATTATATATATAATTATATATATTTATTTATATAATATAATATATATTTATATTGAATGAACCGGTTTAAAAAAATGTTAGATTAGATTTTTTTTAAGGGAAAACGATTTTTTGAAAAATACAAACCGCGATTCTAGGCGCAGGATAAAATTTTTTTTTAATTTTTTTTGGCGCAGGATAAAACTGAGCGAAAAGGTCGACCGATCGTGTACCTATGAACAAAGAAGCTCGTCGACGTGTGCTAAAAACAGAAATGGCCATATTCGTTATGGATATTGGCACTCGTTTCGTGCCCTCACCTCGATCATCGTCCTGCACGTTTTTTACAGTCTCAATGGGCGGTACCATCAGCCAAATATCGAATAATTGTGATAGAGTGAAGGGAGATATTGGAGAGCCGATATTCCACGGTTTATCGACATTTCTACTGACGGTAAATGATGTACCTGGGGTTGATGGGGAAAATTAGAAAAGGGGGAGAAAATTGAGGGGCAAGGTTTTTTTGCAGACCTGATCAAAAATTATTGTTATTATTTTTTTATTTCTGTTCACAGAGCCAACAGTGAAAATAGGGAGACATGAGTCGGACGTGACGTCACAATGACATGATGAAGAGTCTGGTGGGGATCATGTGGATAGTGTTGGTTCTCATATCAGGTCAGTCAATAATAAATAAATAGAAACAAAAATAATCATCATAAAAATCGAATGATAATCAATATTCCCCGCGTAAAAAAAAATGTAATCGAAATATTTTTTTCAAATTATCAAAAAATTTCTGGATAAATTTTCAAAAAATTTTTTTTATTAAAAAAAAATCGGGAAAAAAAATTTTATTTCTCGTTTCCAAAAATACAATTTTTTTGTTTCGCGATTTTTTTTTTTGTTTCAAAGGAAAAATTATCTGCAAAAATAAAAATAATTGATATATTCATTAATTTCTGTTTTGAAGTCTTTCGTTAAATTAAATACGTAATGATTATTAAATCGGCAGTCGACAGGGTGATGTCGATTTTTGAGAAATCTACGGTATTTCCTTGAAAAGATTACCATCGGACAGCTGATTGGTCCAATAGCCTCCGTCAATCATTATTTACGATTGAAATCCCGGAAAAACCATCGAAAATCATTGCACAGAGGATGAAATACTGTGGGCGGTGCATGTACGAATATCCAACCGTGTATTCAATTATCGGTATAAATTTCCGGGATACCAAAATCGAGGACGAATTAATTGGGCCTGCGTCCGGTGAACTCATATATCCTATCACCCAGTGACAAATGTTAGAGTGGAATTTATCACTCCTACCATTTCTCTACCCCGCGACTCCAACCCCGTGCTCATCCAGACACTGTGTACTTTTAATCAGGTACTGAATAAAAATTCCACGTTTTGTTATTAAAAAATATTCCTATTAAAAAGATTTTCTAAAATTCCTCACATGCTATTCAACATTATTATTTAAAATTTCTGAAATTTCAGTTGAATTTTCAAATTATATTATTAATAATCATTCATTATTATTAATTTCCAATAATGAATACAAATCTAATTGTCCACTTAAAAACACTCACTGAATAAAAAATAAATGATAATTGATTTTTAAAAGAAAAATTTGATTTTGTAAAAATCGAAAGTTGGGGAAATGATTATTTGAATTTTCGCAAATAATAAATTCATTCATTAATATTCATGGAAAATAATGAGCAATTGCCAAGTTGATGAGAATTTCCGAAAATTATAAAAATCGTAATTACCGAGATATGAGAGGAAACTCCAGATTATGATAACCCGTGATGAATAAGACTTTCCAATTAGACTATAAATTCCAAAAATTGAATGAACATTAATTGAAGTGCATAATTCAATGTGAATTGTTCCCCAGTGTTGGGAAAATCGAGCATCAATATCTCCCCTTAGGCATTTCGCCACTGGGATGAGGTTAACGAGGATGTATTCCCCCAGGTGCTACCACCGTGCACATAAACCCTACCCCCTCATTCACGATTCGTTAAGTTTGAGATCTCTCGAATGCTCGATAGATTCAAACTGTTTTTCAGATTTTCATCGACAACGATAATCGATTTAAACCCTCGAAGATATTAATTACAATTTTAATGCAATTGCACGTAAAAATTCCGCAGGATGTTCCGGAAATCCGGACGCGAAACGCCTCTACGATGACCTCCTGTCAAACTACAACAAGTTGGTGCGTCCAGTTGTCAATGTCACGGATGCTCTCCAGGTTAAAATTAAGCTCAAGCTCTCCCAGCTGATAGATGTGGTAATTAATCCTTAATTAATTAATCCTTACGACTGGAAGATCTGTGGGACTGACCTTCAATCGCTCTTTCGTCTTTTCCAGAATTTGAAGAACCAGATAATGACGACGAATTTGTGGGTGGAACAGGTGAGACCATTGTTATGAAAAATTTTTTATAAATAATATCCCGACAACCATTACCTATTCAACAATCAAAGAATATTTTTATTTTCCTCAACACTCAGAATAATGTAGATTCAATCGGAATCTGTGTTAACGCACTCGAATTCTGTAAGTGTAGGTACTGTGTACTCGAAGTAAATGGAAGGAGTTGAAGGTAGCAAAGGGCGTATGTGTATTGGGTACACAGGTTGGAAATATACTCGAGGGTTTGTTTGACCGAAACTACCCGCCAAAGGACCCTCATATCGAGCCACATATGTATCTGTGTACTTGCATTCAGATTAATGGAATCGTCGACTGCTCCAGGATACGGGAAAAGATCCTTTAACGGCCCCAGGGCATCACAATTACCACTGGATTTATTTCATCTCCAGTGATTCTAGTGGGAAGAGTTTTTATAAGTGAAACGAGAGATTAATATTCAGATTCTCAAAATAAAACTGAACCACAACCTCAATTCAGATTTTTCATTAATACGTATGAGGGAAATCGGGGGTTCCCCGCTGGGGCGTGACGGGTAATTCCCTGCGGATGTTACTAGAATGGTATAGGGATTTTTTGGAGGATTCCCCGGTTTGTTAATGTGAATATTTTTGAGAATGCATTTCTCCGGGTTGGAATAGGCGCGGCAAAAAATATTGAGGTGAAAATGGTGAAAAAAATTAAATATTCGCTCGAGCCCCACGAGACTGAATAAAAGTGAATAGTCCATCGGTGCGTGCAACCCATTTTTCCTGACTGACGCATATCCCTCGAGAAAGAAAGAATTTCTTCCTCCGAACATGAAAAAAAAAATCCCCACCCACCCCAGAAAAAAATCACCGGTCCATTCGCGTTTTCCGATAATTACAATAATGGATAGTTGATCGTCAATTATCAAGAGATAAATTTCCGGGATTAAATCGAACTCAATATAAATTGCTCGATTGATAATCACTGAAACGTGAGATCCATCAGTAAACAGTGAAAAAAAAATTGATAAAAATAATTAGCGAATATAATTTGGATAATCATTGCTACGAGTTCACACGATTGATCTTGAATTATTCGGAGCGTTTGAGGGTGGAGTTAGTCGAGTTAGAGAAACACTCCTGCTATAATTTAATTACCATAATGTTTGTTCATTTGTGTGAGAAGTCTGTATTAATGGAGGCCACTTGGAGTTTCGGGTGGGGTTGGAATAACATCAAATATTTGGTAGTTTAGACGGAGTAAAAACGCCTGCCAATCGCGCCGCATACATTATCGACATTTGGTTATTCATGGAGAGTTGAACCGAAAAGTACCACTCAGACATTAGTCTCAATGACACTTAACGTTTTCAATAATTACAAGTTTTGACGACGTCAGCTCAGCATTCAGACCCAGATTATTGTCTCACCGAATTCATTCCACAATAATCCACAAAATTTCCGTCATATTTCCCAACTTCGATGTATGATTACAATTGCGTGAAATGTTCTGTAATTTTTCTTGAATATTTTCCTCCGTGTGACAAATCACGTGTGACTTTTCTTGAGCAGTCGAGGAATTTTTTTTATTATCACTGGCGATGCAACAATTGGCAATAACATTTTTATTGTTGCAGTCGTGGTTTGACTACAAGCTCAAGTGGGATCCAGAGGAATACGGCGGAGTCCAGATACTGCACGTACCGTCCGATCATATTTGGAGACCCGATATAGTTTTGTACAACAAGTAAGTTCAATAGTTGATAAAGCATCGTAAATTCTGATTCTCTTTTAGTTTTCATCCGAGAATTTCCTGGTGGTTCGGGGCAATTGGATCGATGCAGGTGAATTGGAGGAAATTGTCTCGGTGAAATGATCGTATTTATGGTTTCAGTGCTGATGGAAATTTCGAAGTGACCCTGGCGACCAAAGCTACTCTCAACTACACGGGAAAAGTTGATTGGAAGCCACCGGCTATCTACAAGTCATCGTGTGAAATAGACGTCGAGTATTTTCCATTCGACGAGCAAACGTGTGTCATGAAATTCGGATCTTGGACATACGACGGTTTTCAAGTAAATCATTCACCCCAATTTTCAATTACCCCTTTTGCATCCGGTGATCAGAATTACAATTTCAAATTCTATAAATTTTGGTTTTATTTTCCTTAAATTGATGACAATTTCTTCATTTCTACTCTGATTTTAAAAAATGGAAATTACCACTAATTGAAAGCGATCCCGCGAAAATTCTGAGAATTTAATTTCTCGTAATTCTCAATGATAAATCTAGAAAAATGGCATTTGAAAATAGATATGAGAATCGAACACGACTACCTCGCTCTACGGAACATCAAGATGGAAATTCCTGGACATTCTGCGGAGGGATCCAGACATCCTCTCAAACTTCTCAACGCTCCAATCCTCTTTCACTCCACCATCCCCTCCTGGTCTAGCGTAATAACGAAAATATTCCAATTTCCGATTCCCCGGGAATACGCCAAGATCGGTACTCGGTATTTCCTGGGATCAGAATACTTTCACGGAGGTAACACGAACCCCATATCTGTGCATCCCTCAGATACCCTAGGGACAACTTATCGGTGATAATTAACCGCGTATAGGCCTCATTAATGAGTTCATGCGCAGCGGGTGACCATAATTACGTGTGGGTGGTGCAATTATCCAGGGATAAAAAGTTCCTCATGAAATTGGTGTGTAGGATGACAGGCAATTAAAAATGAGGGGATGGATTTTTTGGGTGAGGGCGGGAGAATTGAATTATTCGGCGAGTGAGGGCTGACGTTGGACGGGGGAAGTTTGCATTTCCCTTTTTTTTTTAATTCCTTATTTTTTTTTATCTCAAAGGTCGACCTCAGACACATCGATGAGGTGAAAGGGAGCAACGTAGTGGACGTCGGTGTCGATCTCTCGGAATTTTATACATCAGTCGAGTGGGACATCCTCGAGGTACCAGCAGTCAGGTAAAATTAAAAAAAAAATCATAAACAATAACTCGCATTTTGAAATTCTGTTGAATATCGCTCGATCCAAAATCTATCGATACAAAATTTATTTTTAAAAATAGGAAGAGGCATTATTATTATTATTATTATTATTATTATTGAGAATCAATTATCAAAAAGTATTGATTTAATAATGAATGGAAAAATCCAGCTATTATTATCTCCTGAAATCACTTGGTTTCGAGATAAATCGATAAATATGAAAAATGATAATTCGACTTATCTCGCTTTGCAACTCCACCGCTGATATGATGGAAATGAATGAAGATGAAGTTTTTCGCGGATAAAAGGGGTGAGGTACGAGTTCTTAATTGAGTTTTTAAAATCCTTCCAGGAATGAAAAGTATTACACGTGCTGCGATGAGCCTTACCTCGACATAACATTCAACATCACTATGAGAAGAAAAACCCTGTTCTACACGGTAAATCTCATAATACCGTGCATGGGGATTTCATTTTTAACTGTTCTCGTGTTCTACTTGCCGAGTGATAGTGGTGAGAAGGTGAGTAATCCCCAAAATTCTGAACGAGTTGATTTTTTAAAATTCCTCTTAAAATTCGTACTCTGTTTATCCCGTGCAGAACTGCTCTCAGAAAAAAACTCATAGGAACTTTTTTGTGGTGGAGAATATATTCAATAATAATGTTTAATAACATTTTTCCCTCACACCTTTAGATTTCGGGGGAATTGGTTGTTTAGGAGCGATGGAGTCGTGGGAAGAATTGAATTGTCGAGTGGTAATGGTTCAATCGAATTGACCTTGTGAAATCTCATTCGGAAATTTCAAACCCATTAATTGAATATTATTCAATAGTCACGGGCAAATATCCTGACCCCTGACATGCTCATAATCCCAATCATCGGCGCTTTGTCCTCGATGTGGATTTTGATCGTTTCCGGGGTTAAGATCGTATATCAATGCGAGACACTGCACAATGCACCCTCGGCCTCGAAACTAGGTACCAAGTGCCCAGAGCCAAGTTGTATAATCGAGTATGCATATGCCCTCAAGCTATCGCACACACCACCAGAATCAACAAAGAGTGACGACAGAAAAAATATTGCAAAATTGGTATATTATTTATTGTCATAATCTTACCTGATTGTTGTTCACCGGTCTGCCCGTTTTTTGGTTTCAGGTCAGTCTTTCGATTTCCATTCTTCTGTCACTGACTGTGTTCTTCCTCCTCCTAGCCGAGATTATTCCACCCACATCACTGGTGGTTCCACTGCTGGGTAAATTTGTGCTGTTCACTATGATCCTTGATACATTCAGGTGAGGGAAAAAATGGGGAACAATTGAGAGTCTAGAGAGTATTATTACGATTTGGAGGTGATTAATGGAATTATGTGGTTACAGTATATGTGTCACTGTAGTTGTCTTGAACGTCCATTTTCGGTCGCCCCAGACTCACGTAATGGCCCCATGGGTTCGTCGTGTATTTATCCACGTATTGCCAAGATTACTAGTAATGCGCAGGCCGCAGTACAACATTGACAGACGAAGTTTGGATGGGCATCATTCGAGTCAACGTGTCATGGTGAGGACGTGCAATGGACTGGATGGGAGAGATCCTTCGTTGTTTGTCGAGGCTTCTGCCTCGGAACTCGTCGAGTCCTCGGTGCTCTTTCCAAGTGTTGACTCCAGGGATGAATTGAATTTACAGTAAGCACTAACGATTCATTCCCCTAAAAATTTCAAAAATACGAAAAAAAATGTTATCAGAAAAAAAAGAACGGAAATATCTTCAAAATGGCTTAAAAAATTTATTCACTCCCGAAGAAGAGACTGAAAGTAATTGCGCATGATTTGAATGAGGCGAATAATTGTAATCGTCATTTAAAAACGCGAGGTGGGAGCGCCGTCATCTTGAGCATCACATGCGCAGACGAAGAGAAGATGGCGGCGCTCACAGTGACTCCGGAGGATGGAGTTTGAAAAAAAAAAAATTGTTGTAGTGAATTGGAAGCTGTTAATCTTGGTAGTGCCTGTCAAATCCATGGCTCACCAGGACCAGCACCAGCGCCACCACCTCAGCTGCCCACTGAGGACAGTGTTGATGCACTTTGTAAGACACTCAATAATTGGCATCACTGCCCAGAGCTGTACAAGGCAATCGAAGCCATCAGGTTCATAGCCGATCATACGAAACGAGAGGAAGACTCCACTAGGGTAAATAAATGATTTTCCCACGATATCGAGGGATGTTCAAGGGATATTTTACGATAAATTATTGTTCGGTGAAAAAAATAGGTAAAAGAAGATTGGAAATACGTTGCCATGGTGCTGGATCGCCTCTTCCTCTGGATCTTCACACTGGCGGTTGTAGTAGGTACAGCTGGTATCATTCTTCAAGCTCCAACCCTCTACGACGATCGTATTCCAATCGACGTGAGACTCTCGGAGATTGCCTCAACCACTGCCAAACCGCACATCGTTACGACCCTATGAGTAACGCTCGGTATTATCGTATGAGACTCGAAAAACAAGTTAATTAAATAATAAAAAAATAATAAATCCCAACAATACCAATCCCCTACCCCTTTGAAATCCATTGACATACCGAGAATACGAGAGACTGATGTCTTTTTGAGTCTACGACGCTGTTGAGAGTCACTTATTTATTTTGCGTAAGTTGCAATGCTGTTTATCATTTCATCCCCAGGAATAAGTTATAAAAATTCATGATAAATTCAAGGATTCATGAAAAAAAAAGTGTAATTAATCGAGGATAACTTGCATGGATTTTTTTTTTTCAACTGCATGGTAAATGTTTAATGACCAGAAAAAACTTGGGAAAAGGAAATTCAAATTCAAAATCACCTCAGATTTGAATTTTTTCTTCAAAAAATAAAACGACTGGAGTTAATATCCGTTCACAACCGACTGATGCCTCTGAAGCAATTTTAATTTATGAATGAAAATCAGAAAGTGGAGAAAAAATTAATTTAACAATCGCAATTTGTCCCCAAAAGCCAGCATATGGATTACCCCGGCGTACGTTCCCTCAGCAGGCGTCGGATAAATTGGGGGTGACGCCATGACTCTTGCATAAACATGGATTAATACCGAGGAAACATTGGATCCTCATAAATATTCACTTTCGCAAATTTTTAGTCAACATTGTCAAGGAAATATATCCCGAGAGACGGATAATCACGAATATTCATCCCTTGAAATGTCGATTATTCTATGGATATAAATGATCGCCTGTTGCAGACTCATCAGGACTATTTTTTCGTTTCTCCCCGAGGTGATGGCAGTGAGTGTTTCCTGCAATTGATTAATTAATTGAAAAAAAAAAAAAACAAAATGATAGCTCTATAGAAAATTCTATAGACTCCCATAAACGCTCTAGATTTGTGCTCAAAAATCGTCATCACCCCTAAAGAATTATTTCTGCTATAGATTTATCTACAGAAACCAAAAATCTACAGCCGTATCAATTCTATAGAGCCGATAACATTTAAATACAACACTGACCAAAATCATCTATAGATTTTTTATCTATAGATTTTTAGGAGTAATTTGTAAAAAAAAAAAACAGTTCTATAGGTGATTCTATAGAAACCGCCGAAATGTTATGGATTTGTCGATGGAAAGTGATCTATAGATGCTGAAGATCTATGGAGACATTAAGATTTGAATAAAACACTGACCAAATGATCTATAGATTTTTCTGTGGCATTTATAACGCGCGTCGGCTATAGGTTCCTATAAAAATCGATAATTCTATATTCTAGAGAATCCTATACATGGCCTACAATATATCTGAATATATCTGATTCCACAGAGAATTCTCTAGAATTTTTCGTGGATGGAGAATTGAATATTCATATTGAATTCCATAGAACTGCCACAACGGGAATAATAAATTCTCCACCAGTCGAGCTCTCATATAATTTTCAAAAAATTCACGAGATTCTCTGGACCATCCTTAGCATTTTATTCTACAGAAATTTCTATAGAATCTTATACCAATTTTTGATAATGAATTTCATTGCAGGAAATGCTCCACTCAAAAATCCATCACCCAAAAAAAAAAATGTTTTAATGAAGTTTAAATAAAACAATTACATCGAGCCTGTAATAAAGGGGCCATATTTTCACAAAGAAAAGAGAAACAAAGAGATTAATAAAAAAATGAACTAATTAAATAATTAACGAAGGGCGAACGTCACAACATGAAATTCTAAATGTCTGCATCGAATTATTGAGGCAGATGCATAAAATATATTGGGCTGGATTGATTGTTTCTCTATTTTCACTGAAGCTGATGATAACGAGTTGATAATATCGTGAAAAAGAAAATAGTTTCTATAGAATATACAAACATTTCATTATTTTTCAATTAATTTCCACAATAAATCTGTTCAGAGGACTATCGCCGATTTATTGATCTGAAAAAATAACCAGAAGACCTAATTAATTATTGAATTTGTTGTCATCGCTCCAGACGAGGAACAAGTCATCCAGAAAGATGGAAAAAAGTTTTATTGCTCATAACGTATATGTTTGTAATAAGAGATAATTATCCACAGATTAATAAATTTGTTCCATTACCACCATTAATAACGTGGTTATAAATATTATAAATATATATTATATGAATAGATTCTAATGAAGTGAGTAAACAGCAGATTATTACTGATAATAATGTGCAATTAAATAAGTGTTTAAGTGAAATTATTGTTATTTAAGTTTTTCCATTGTTTCTACGGTCTTCCTCAATGCAGAAAAAAAAATGAATTAATCCTTTTGCGTTCGATAAACGAAGGAGTTAATTATCTGAAACACTGAGACACCCGCTGATCAGATATTTATCTCAGATTTAGATCGAAATGTGAGAATGATTTCAATCATTTGTCGCCTACGTAATTTTGTACTATTGATTTTACAATGACCGGTTGTAGTTCATTAATATTGTAAGTCATTAATAATGCAAGTGGTTGATTATTCGCGGGGTTATTAATTTTTTAATCGAGTGGAGAACCGATGAATGAATTATTCCGATGTTTGGATTATTCTGGATTGATTTTTTTTGGCCTCTGCACTCGATTAGCGATTGATATTTCAAGTGGAAATTAAATAGTGATATGACATTTAGTTATTACAGTGTATGAGTGATTGCGTAACGCATGAGATTAATTAAGGGCAATTCAAATGTTTAAAGGAAGACAACAACCTAAGCACAGTGATAGTTTAAAAACTCCAAGTGAAGAAAATAAATCGTAAGTGAAGAAAAAAAAAAACAATTTATGATAAGACATTAATGGTATTACGAGTAAGCATTATTACCTTCCACTAGACGGCATTGAACTGCGAATTTATTTTAATAGCCATGGAATAACGCTCTTGTTATTTTTAACACGCGAATTTATAACGAAAATCTCTCCAAAATGGAGAAAATAACGGAATAATCGATGGAATTATTACCGATTATCGGGGGATCGATTGAATTCTCACGGGGGAAATAAAAATTTGAAATGATTTCTAATTATCTCCCGGTGGAAATCCATCGAAATCCGCCATTTGTCCAGAGCTCGAAGCTAAAGTGAAGAGCGAAATAAAAAAAAACTGCGTAATTGTCACGCCAATTATGTGTATCGATTGTTTAAACAGGAAAAAATTAAGAGCAACAAAAAAAAAAAATACTCACGTGTCTATTCTATTTTCGCATGCGTGTCCCCAACATATCCGAGTGATTACACCCGATAAATGCAATTATTGGGAGGGATAATGGGCCTGAAGCAATTGAATAGAACAGGGAACTTGCGAAATTGAATTCTAATTTTTTTTAATTCCTCTTTTATTTATATTTACAGCGAATTCAGAGAATCCGAGCTAGAGGAGCGAAAGCACTCGATTATAAATCGAACCTCTACATCAATTGGTTCGTTACGACGTCCCAAGGTCGCAATCTGAATGACGATTGGCCGAGGGGCGGAGTCGTAGCCTCTAATTGGTTGATAGCGATAGATTAGACTGGATTCGCTCAAATTACGATTGAAATCATTGGTTGAATTTTCTCCTCGAGTTTTCTGGCGACATTCGCCATTTTTTAATGTGAATTATTACTTTGTTGTTATTTTTTTGATATTATTTATCAAGTTCCCTGTTTTGGAGAGAATTGGAGGGAATAAACGAATGAAAAGTCGCTTGCAGCTTCTTGTCGTTAGGAAAAATCGAGAGAAAGCGAATAGTTGTGTTGCTCAAGAGTAATTTTTTAATTAAAAAATTAATCAATTGATTAAGAATAAATGGTATTTTGGAGGATGAGAAAATCGTAATACCACTCGCCATAAATTACTGTTCTCCGTATTTACTGCCATAGGTGAATGTACATACACTTGAGTGAATTTTTTTTTTTCCTCGTGGTTAGGAAAAATGTGGGTTTGAAGCACCCGGAGAAAATATATTTTTTTCTCATTTAATACTGCCTCAATTTTCGTAATTAAACATTACGAGTGGAAGATATTATATATATTAATCCATTAATCCGGAGTAATTCAGTAATTAGTGAATAATTCTATTTGAAATAGTTTGAAATTATTCAGTAAAAATTGAATGATTAAAATTATTAAAATTATTAAAATTATTTCAGAGTTATTCAATGATTGTTGTCAAAATTAAAAAATTCAAATCAATAAATCACTCCCGATGACATAAACAATTCGTTCACTTCAGAATGTAATTTTTTTTCTGGGTGCCAACAAACCGAAAGCTTCTAGTAATAAAATCTAAATTTCCCAGACCATAAATCGCTTAATGACGCAACGAGAGTCGGACTGCATCATCCAAATCCCAAAAAAAAAAACATCCAACGAAATAAAAAGCCCAAGAACTTTTCATAATATAGCACTAACTAAAAAATAAAGAGTAATGACTAAATGTTCGAAGTTATCGAGAAAAATCAAGAGATTTTCACATTAAAAATAATTAAAACGAGAAAAAGATGGAGATGAAAAAAAAAATGCACATTAATCGTCTCGTGCCGCGAATAAACAAATGGATGAATAAATTATGTTATTGGGGCATCAAGCCAACTGCAGTATGAATAATCTAGGTGGATCGTAGGCTGTAGGATAATTAAAAATTTACCGTTAAAACGAAATCTAAAATTGTGAATTACGTAAGAGCAATTGGCACGATGCCCCATTGATTAACCAGAAGTGGAAAAATATTATTAATACAGAATAATATCTGAGAATAATAAAATTATGACATGAGAACTTTCTACATAAACAGGTGTATATCTATAAATTGAATGAATAAACTTGATTTTTGTAATAGCGTTGAGATTACGAATGCACATTCAATCCTATTCACTCTCCTGATTATTTTATTTCATTTTATTTCATTAATTATTCTGACGTAACAGCTAATTACACGATTTACTTATTCATTTGCCACTGGTGGGGATCCCGCGAATGAAGTTTATTAATTAATTTTACTGATTAATTTATTTTGGTCAATTGTCGCGGACACGAAATATTTTGGTATTTTGGGTGAATGAGAAATTCGAATACCTGTAATAATTATTTTTATTTGATATTAAAATCCGAGGAAAAATAGAAATTAAATGAGAATGTATTTATTCCGGATTTTTTCGGGGTTTTCATTAAAAAATAATTGATGATTTAAAAAAATTGTTATTGTGACGATAAGAGACGATTTTCCTTGATCTCTCGGCGTTTTCTCACTTTTCTCTTCAGCATCATCGCGCCTGAAATAAAAATAATTCCTTAAAAAAAGGAAATTATTAATAAATACTGATAATTCGTCTTTATTTCTTACGAATCATAATTCTTATTCATCAATAAGTGAAAAAGTCTCACAAGATAGTGTTTGCCAGAGTTGTGCGCTCTTTTTGGTCTCAAAATTATCAGACATTTTATCACTCGATAATTCCCTCAATTTCATGCATGTCTCACGCAATTCGATGGAACCCCGAGACGACGGTACGAATAAATATGAATTAAGAAATTGTTCAGGGTGTACGTATCCCCGCCTGATGCTCTTTACCTGAAATATTTAATGAACCGATAATTCTTCAATTTATGAATCAATTATTCGATTAATTTTTTCTCACCTCGTGGAGAAACTCCATGAGGAGCCACAGCCACATGCAGACGAGTGTCAAGACATCATTTTTAAGGCCTCGAGCGTTCCACAGGGTAAAATCAGGTACGACTAGAGTGTGGACGTATATCCTGAGTAATTAATCAGTAATTAATACACCAATAACCCAAGAAAATGACAATTCAACCTATCAAAAGCACTGATTACTCACATATTCGTAAAATAAATCCCCAGCAATGCCTTGACAGCAATTAATCTTTCCCTCGTTAAAATAATTGAGAGAATTCTGCAGGTGTTCATGAGAGACATGGAGGTGGCTTTGAAGAATAATAAATTCATAATAATATCAAACCACCTGATAAAAATTACACAAGATTAATTTTCAGCAATTGACAATTTAAATTAATTGTTGACTCCTTAATTTATTTACTTTAGTTGTGACGAGCTGTGAATTATCAGGCAGAACATGAGACTCGTCCATCCACTCAGCCAGTCCCCATGATAAACAATTTCAACTCCAGTCCTGTGCAGATAAAAACTCTTGTGAAAGACAATACCCAGCTCCAGGTACCGAGGTTTATCAAAAATACAGGCATTATCCACGGATTTAGGCACCAAGAATTTTACATAAAGTGCACTGAGGAATGTGAAGCCAGTGCACCACAGGGCGTCTATTATTCTCCGACGTTTTATCAATCCATAATGCATACGTCGAAGTAGCAGCTTTAAACAATTACAAAATAATTCAATGAGTTAATTACTTGATTATTATTAATTATTTATAAGAATATTGAATGGTGAACTCACATGAAGGCACTTGTCATAAATGACAAATAAAATCCACCAGCCAATTAACATAAACAAACAATTGTCAGAATTATTCCTGATCTTCCTGAGCTCCTGAATGTCCTGGGACACCTGCATTTTACCTCGATTCCATCCATCACAGCATTTCCAAAGGAATCGAAATTATCTGACGGATTTTACTCATTTTTTTCATCAACAATGAGTCCTCGATGGCAAAAAGGCGTATAAAAGAGGATTGACTGAAGTGGAGGCTCAGTTCTGGGGGTTTGAATGACCCCAGCGCCATCGTAGTAATGCACCCCAAGAGAGGGAGGGCGCCACACGCAATGTTTTTGAATGCTTTTTGTTTTTTTTATTTGTTTAACTCAAATTTAGCCGACTGTAGAACGTGCGGAAGGGGGAAACCACATCTTGTGGAATTTTAATGGAAAAAATTATTCAATGTATTGAATATATACCACTAATGAATTTA